AATAATAATAATAATAATAATAATAATAATAATAATAATAATAATAATAACAAATATAATAAAGTGGATTGTGAAATGAAAGAAAGAAATACACAAAAACATGAATCAATGAATGAATCAATAAAACATGCAAGTCTTGATTGAACATTTTTTTTCAATCTTTGACATTCATTAGAAAATTACCAAATAGTTTTTTATCTGTACTGTACACGAGAATTTTATCAAATATTTCAATTCATAATCGCATTTATCATATAATTATCTATGAAATACCTATATTTCTCCATTTCGTTAAGTTGATATTTTCACTGGTGAAAATAACTTCTCTCTATAGTGGAAATAAGAAAAAAAGGTATTTTACGACATAATTTGCTGTTATTGATAATTATATGATAAACAGAATATTACATGGTCGCTTGGAGACACGAATTTTATTTTCTCGCGTTGAAGATCTTTAATATACAGTGTTCACGAGTGTGAGCTTTTTTCGGTGTTCCCCATTCATTCATAGGAATCCATGTTACCGATCTCTGATCGTCTAAATTTCAATTAATCACATAGCTATAAAATCATTGCGTTTGCAATCGAAGAGTTATTGTTGGGGAACGATCTGCTACTCACTAAGTCAATCATCCAGTCAGTCAGTCACTTACTTTCCTGTAAACTGTGTTGTTTCTTTTTCTTTTTTTTTCGAAGAGAAAGAAATTTATGTTCTCGATGGAGCTCGAGCTCGGGACTTCTCGCGTCAACAGCAGAGACATTAGTAAATTGCACAAATTTAAGGAAGGTTTTAAAAGGGTTTTCGCTTTGAGTGTCAGGGAAAACGTACAAKAATCTCCTTGTTTTACTCGGAGATTGCGTGAAGTCTACATGAAGCTTCTTGCTTATCTTGGCTTCTCGTAAGAAACTACAGATCTGATCCATCGGTATTTGCTGACTTAAGTGCGAAAAAAAGTCGAGAATAGCAATAAGTTAAAACCCTGCATTCAAATGAAGAAAAAAAGGTATAAAATTATGTTCTTCTGGCGTTTTCACTGGATTTTTGCTTCGATTGCGAATAACATGATCTTTAGTCCGTTGATCTACAGTGTCGTTTCTTGCATTATTTATTTTAGCTAATTAACCTCTGATAAATTTCACACTTTACCAAGTTTTTTTGTGCTTTGGATATATTTCAACCACTGTGCTATTTTTTCGCAAAAATCATCTTACTCCGAGTTAGCGGTTGCCATTGGCAGTTTGTTTTGAATTTTTCTCTATTATTTAGTTATATCTTTGTTTAATCTTGATACTCATCTATGAATATCCTACGCATTTTTAGTCCTAATTTTTGTAGCCGGGGGGTCTTTTTAAACTGTTTTGGAAGTATATCCGCAGACCAAAGATTTATGAATGCTCATATCTTAATTCAAGGTATGGATTGTCCAGGAACAGCGACGTTTTACGACCTGGTCCACATGGTGTATACCGATAAACCACAAGTTATCAAAAATGCTGTCTGTGTGTTTGAATGGAACACTGGATCACCACTAAGACGACATTACGATAACGACTTT